GGAAGGTACCATGGTGCATGTTATTTGCAGATGACATAGTACGGAATGACGAGACGCGAGGTAGGATTAATGCTAGACTGGATGTTTGGAGACATACCCTGGAGTCTTAAGGTTTCAGATTGAACAGGACTAAAACAGAATATTTGGAGTGCAAGTTCAGTGACGCAACTCAGGAGGAGGCGTGGTAATGAGACTGGACTCACAAGTCATCCCTAAGAAAGAAATTTTCAAGTGCCTTTGGTTAGTGATCCTAGGCAATCGGGAGATCGACGATGATGTCACACACCGTATTGGAGAAGGATGGATGAAATGGAGGCTAGCATCCGGTGTCTTGTGTGATAAGAATGTATCACCAACACTTAAAGATAAGTTCTACAAAGTATGGTTAGACCGATTATGTTGTAAGAGGCGACGTGCTGACCCGTCAAGAACTCTCATGTCCAGAAGATGAAAGTAGCGGATATGAGGATGTTGAGTTGAATGTAGGCATACTAGGAGAGATATAGTCAAGAATGAAGATATTCGAGACAAGGTAGGTGTGGCCGCAGTCGTGGACAAGATGGAGGAAGCGAGGCTGAGATGGTTCGGACACGTAAAGAGGAAATGTCCATATGCCCCAGTAAAGAGGTGTGAGAGATTAGCGAGGGTGGGTTTGAGGCGAGGTAGAGGTAGACCGAAGAAGTATTGGGGAGAAGTATTGGGCAAGACATGGCTCATCTTCAGCTTACCGAGGACATGACCCTTGATAGGAGGGTGTAAAGGGCGAGAATTAGGGTAGAAGGTTAGTAGGCAATCGAGCGTCTCTAGTAGTAGTAGTGTACTCTAGTTTTTCCGTACTCTTAGATTTCTATTACTATCTGACAGAATACTTGGAGAGTAAGTTCAGTGGCGAGACTCAAGGAGGGGAAGAGGAGGTGAGGCTGGACTCGCAGGTCATCCCTAGGAGAGGGAGTTTTAAGTACCTTGGATCTATTATTCAGGGGGATAGAGAGAATGATGAAGATGTCATACATCGTATTGGGGCAGGATGGATGAAATGGAGACTCGCTTCCGGTGTTTTGTGTGACAAGCATGTGCCACCAAAACTTAAGGGTAAGTTCTACAGAGTGGTAGTCAGACCAACGATGTTGTATGGGGCTGAGTGTTGGCCAGTCAAGATCGCTCATGTCCAGAAGATGAAGGTAGCAGAGATGAGGATGTTGAGATGGATGTGCGGGACACCATATTAGATAGGATCAGAAATGAGGTTATTCGCGACAAGGTGGGAGTGGCCCCTATTGAGGACAAGATGCGAGAAGCGCGACTTAGGTGGTTTGGTCATGTGAGGAGGAGGAGCACAGACGCCCCGGTGAGGAGGTGTGAGAGGTTGATATTGGAGGGCCTACGGAGAGGTAGAGGTAGGCCAAAGAAGAGGTGGGGAGAGGTGATTAGACAAAACATGGCGCAGCTTCAGCTGACCGAGGACATGAACCTTGATAGGAAGGTATGGAGGTCGAGGATTAAGATAGTAAAGTAGGTAATCTAGAGTATTCATAAATGTATTAGTATTGGCACGCAATCTCGCTTTCTTTTGGTAATAGGTTTTATGACTAACCGTAATTTCTTTCATTGTTGATCACCTTACTATTTGGTTGTTTTTATTCTACTTTTATATGGCTTTTTGGTATTGTCCCTTCTTGTCTATATTTTCATTAATGTAGTGCTTATATTTTTCTAAGCCGAGGGTCTATTGGAAACAGTCTCTCTATCCTCACAAGGTAGGGGTAAGGTCTGTGTACACACTACCCTCCCCAGACCCCACGGTGTGGGATATTACTAGGTATGTTGTTGTTGTTGATGTTGCTTACGTTTTGGTTTTTCTACTATCTTGTTGTTGTTACCGCTTCCCTGACTTTCACACTACTGCATTTCTTTCTATCTATATATTGTTGTGATCATGTATGTTTGTCTTGAGTCGAAGGTATATCAGAAATAGCCTCTCTACCTGCATAAGGTAGGGGTAAGGTTGTGCACTAACTACCCTTCTCATATCCCACTTGTGGGAGTACACTGGTTTGTTGTTGTTGTATATAAGGATATTATCATTTAATTATATAATATTTATAGGCCGTCTTAGGCATAGAGAATGATTACATATTAAATTGTACATTTGACTAGAATCTTATATAAGAAACCACTCTTATACCTTGTTAATCAATCAAACTAATAAGAGGTTTTCTTTTCTTTCTTAAAATTGCATCAATGCAGGCAGACGTCCTTGGTTAAGGTCTCACCCAACAACAGAATTATAAAGGGTGGAGGTGTTGGCAGGAGTCAAGAGAGTGGAAGAACCAGATATTATAGGGGAAAAATTTGAGCTTCTAATAACATCTATGTGTTGAAGAAAATTTATTGTTATAACCTGGATTTCTAACACAAATGACCTATTCAAATCATGGATTAAGGCTAGATTATGAGGAATGAGGATCTTCCACAGATAACATACAAGAATGACTGACCACAACGACCATTGAAGAAGAGGAAGTAGAAGCTATCATCAAAGGGTGTGGAGGAAACAAACGTCTAGTGCCCAGCGGCTTTTCGCTCAGGTTCCACAGTGGTTATACAAATGGCATTGGAAGCTAAAATTCTCCTATCAAAGAGGAGTGTTTAGAAAGAGTTTAATACTTCCTTCATAGCTCTAATTTCCATGAAGAAAGTTGTATTTGGGGTGAAAGGATTATAGCCTAACAACCTAGTGTGAGCGTGTGTAAGATTATCTCCAAACATGCTGGTAGAAAGGATGAAAGTTTCAAGGTTAAATTGTTCTATATTTTCAAATGACCATTGTTAAGGTAAGGAAAACTACTAATGCAGCTTTGATTGCTAATGGATACCTGAAGTTGAGACAATCAGTTGCTTAGGACTGTTCATAATTGTGTAAAAACTGAACCAAAATTTTCATTTATCCAGTTTTGGTAATATAATAACTTTAATTCGGTTTCGATATTATATGGTAGCGAACGCCGGACTGCTAAGACCGGCAATGTTATATGCTAGTAAATGTTTTATGTTGTACTGCTAAAGTTCAACATATCCACAAAATGAGTATTGTAGAGATGCGGATGCTAAGATGGATGTGTTGTCATACGACATTAGATAAAAGATTAAAAACGATTACATTCACCGAAAGATGCAAGTAGCAAGCATTGAGGATAAAATGAGAGAACAACGCTTGATATGGTTTGGTCAGGTCCAGCACCGACCTGCAGATGCATTGGTTTTTTTTATAAGGTAAATTGTATTAATCAAAAGGGAGAAAACTCCCGTATACAAGAAGTATACCAAAAAGTAGAGAATTCACATCAGAACATGATTCTCTACAAATGACGCCCAATCTTCTACACAAGTAGGGGCTATTATGAGTGCACCAAAAAGCGATCAAAGATAAAAGACTATTCTTAAGATGTGAAAAAGGAGACTCAATCCCCTCAAAAGCTCTCATATTTCTCTCCCCCCAAACTATCCACATGAGAGCTAACGGGGGCAAACTTCCACGCCTTTCGTTTTCTTCTTCTACGAAAACCGACCCAGCTATATAACATTTCTTTTACAGTGCTTGGCATCACCCATGGAACACCAAAAAGATTCAGGATTGCCCTCCACAAACCCGAGGACACAGGGCAATGCAACAAAAGATGATCAACTTCTTCCCCTGAGCTTTTACACATGTAGCACCAACTAACAAGTGTAATTCCTCTCTTTCGCAGATTTTCAGCAGTCAAGATCACTTCCCTCGCCGCTAGCCATGCAAAAAAACACACCTTCGTGGGCATCGTAGGAATCCGGATCGAGGAGTATGGAAAAGTGGCCTCCTCTCCCGCTAACAAACTCTGGTAAAGGACTTTACGGTGAACAAACCATCGCCATGCAACCCCAAATCTCCAAGAATCACAAGATGGCTGGGGCCTGTCTTGCCCTTATAACAGTGCCAACAAATCTTGGGGCTCCGCAATCTACTAATCTTGCATGTTCCTTCTAAATGAGAGGTCCCATACTACCCCCCTTCATGCTCCTTGCGAATCTGTTGAACCATCAATTCCTTCTGGTTTGAAACTCTGAAGACGTGGGGGAAAGAGACCCTCAGAGTATCCTCTCCACACCACCTATGATTCCAAAGGCTGATTCTCCTTCCATCTCCCACCCTGTAAGTGATGTTGCCATTGAAGGCTTCCCAATTCTTCATGATGCTCCTCCACATGCCACACCCGAAAGGTGCTGTGATCGCCTTGGTCCTCCAACCCCCTCCCGTGGAATTGTACTTTTCTACTATGACCTCCCTCCATAGAGCATGCTCTTCTACCCCGAATCTCCACAGCCACTTCCCCAACAAGGCTCTGTTGAATGCCCTAAGATCTTTTACTCCAAGTCCACCCCACTTCTTTGAGGAAGTGACTGTCTGCCAATTCACTAGATGAAACTTTCTAGTTCCATCCGCCGCATCCCAAAGAAAATTCCTTTGAAGCCGCTCCAGTTTTTCTTTGATGCTCACAGGAGCTTGCAACAGGGACAAGTAATAAGTGGGCATACTCGATAAGGTACTTTTAATAAGCACTATCTTACCGCCTTTAGACAAGTACCGTTTCTGCCAGCCTGCTGATCTTTTTTCGAACCCTTTCCATCACTAGATTCCAAACCGTAGTATCCTTATGCGAAGCGCCCAATGGGAGACCCAAATAATTGTGGGAAGAGAGCCCACCTTACATCTGATAACATAAGACAAAGCATCGATGTTAGCAACCGGGAAAATCTCACACTCGCCGAGGTTGATCTTGAGTCCTGATACTATCTGAAACCACTGTAGGACCTGCTTCAGGTAGGTCAACTGATCCATATCGGCATCACAGAAAACCAGGGTGTCATCTGCAAAAAGCAAATGAGAGACTCTTCGGGTACTGAGCACCCCGATCGGAGCTGAGAATCCTCTCAAGAAGCCTCCGCCAGCCGCACGATCCATCATTTTACTCAGAGCATCCATCACTAGAATGAATAGCGTGGGGGATAGGGGTCACCTTGCTGAGACCCTGGAGCTTGAAGAAACCACACGGGCTACCATTAACCAGGACAGAGAATCTGACTGAGGAAATGCATAACTTGATCCATCCCCTCCATCTTACCCCAAACCCCATCCGCATCATAATGAAATCTAGGAACTCCCTATTGACATGGACGAAAGCCTTCTCAAGATCCAACTTGCATAGTAAACCGGGTTCTCTATTTTTCCTTCTGGAGTCTACAAGTTCATTTGCCACCAAGGCAGCATCCGGGATCTGCCTACCTTCCACAAACGCATTCTGGGAAGGCTAAACAGACACGTCAAGAACTTTCTTGAGTCTATTGGATAGCACTTTAGAAATAATCTTGTAAATGCTCCCCACGAGACTAATAGGCATGTAGTCTCTGATACAAGATGCGCCTTCTTTCTTAGGCACAATGATAATAAAAGAAGCATTGATACTTCTCTCGAAAACACCATTCACGTGGAAGTATTCCATGGCCTTCGCCACTGAACCCCCCCCCCCCCCCCCTTAATGGTGTCCCAACAGAGCTGGAAGAAGGCCAAGGAGAAACCATCAGGCCCGGGGACCTTATCACCAGCACAACTCGACACAGCCTCGTGCACCTCCTCCTCCTCGAAAGCCCTCTCTAGCCACATGTGGGCCTCCAACTAACTTCCTCTTTGTATAAGTTCTCATAAAACCCCATTATCGCCCATTTTACCTCCTCCTCTCCCTCAATCCTCACCCCATCCACAACTAAGGACTCTATGAAGTTTCTCCTTCGATTTGCAACCGCAACCCTATGGAAAAACTTGGTATGCGAATCCCCCTCCTTTAACCAGAGCGCCCTCGATTTTTGCCGCCAACTAGTCTCCTGAGCTACTGCTAACTCGACTATTTCCCTCTTAACCTCCCCCAGTCTCGCTTTCTCAAATTCATCTAACTCCCTCGCCCCTTCCCCTCTCTCTAATTCCCCCCATTCATGCATAAGCTCCCTCATTTTAACCTCTACCCTCCCAAAAACCTCCTTATTTCACCTAATAATATCTCCCTTGAGCAATTTAAGTTTCTTCGAAAGACGGAAAGAAGGTGTCCCTGATACCCCGTAGCTTGTCCACCATTCTTTCACTTTGTCACCAAATCCTGGCACTTTCAACCACATGTTCTCGAATCGGAAAAGAGCATGCACCCCCTTCCCTCTGCATACATCTAGCAAGCTAGGCAAATGATCCGAAGTCAGCCTAGGTAAAGGAATTTGCAACACATTCGGCACCAGCTCATCCCAGGAGGGCGATATGAGAAATCTATCAAGTCTAGACCTTGAGTTGGAATCCTCCGCCCTGGCCCAAGTAAACCTTTCCCCGGACAGAGAAAGGTCAATGAGAAAGTGATCATTGATGAAGTTAGAAAACTCCTCCATGGCCCTCAGAATCAGGCTACACCCTAATCTCTCCTCCGGGAATCTAATAGTGTTAAAGTCTCCCCCTAGAACCCATGGAATGTCCCATTCCCCCATAACATTGGCCAATTCCTCCCAGAAAGACACCTTGGACCACTCTCCTACCGGTCCGTACACTCCCCAAAATCCCCGCTCCACCCTACTCACTCTATCTTTGACAAGAGCTGCTAAAGAAAAAAACTCCCTTCTTAATCTCCTTCACCTCCAAGCTTCTATCATCCCACATAAGAAGAATGCCCCCGGCATTTCCCGCTGCTGGGACCCAGTCATATTTTACCCAACTACCTCCCCAGACACTCCTCACAATCGCATCCGACAAAACTTCCATTTTGGTCTCCTGAAAACAAACTAGGTTGGCACACTACTCTCTAACTCCCACTTTGATGATAGCCCTTTTGTTTGGATCATTCATCGCCCTCACATTCCATGAAAGAATCTTAACTTCCATAAGTAACAATATCCTCCTTTTCCCCACCCCCCTCGCTGAGCTCCCTTACTCCCTGTCACACACCCGGCCCCTTCTTTGGTACTGTCGCGCCCCCTTTTTCCTCGCGGAGTCCGGGTTTCGACATTCTGGGACAGCTCCTTTTCCTTTTAGGAATTGGGTATGGAATTTGAAGAGTCGCCACCTAACGGATTAAGGTGCGTTAGGGCACCTAGAACAATTAACTCACGAAACCAGTTTGCGGTACCAGAGATTGGGCAAGGGCTCGAAATAACCTTGAGGGAAAGGCGTTAGGCACCTCTCGAGGTCCACAAATGTGGGTCCCGGCCAAACTCATTTTTGTGAATTAGTCATTAAAGAAACAAAGCACATAAATACGTAAAGTTTATTCAAACGGGAATAAAGTGGGTCCTAGGTTTGTTAGCCTATAGGATCACTTTTGTACAATACCCGGTAAACTTCCCACGAATAGAGGTGTTACACGTGGCATTGGCGCACAGGTCATCATATCATTTACTACCCAATTACCCTCCCCTTGGTGATAGCCTAAAGCGTTCTAGCAACATTAAGATGTATCATATGCGTGCACTACCTGTCTCTTTACTTATATAGTCCCAGAGGTATTTAGGACTTCTAGTTAGGGTGGATCTAGACTCTCCTAGAGTAATTAAAAGGAGAAAACTCTAGGCGACAAACAAAACAAGTAGGACTGGACCAAGGATAGAACAGTTAAAAGGCTCACATTTTACCTCCACAAATAGAGCAAGCAAGTGCACGTTTCAAACAGCAGTGTTTCAAATACTTTTAAAGGAGTTCTAATAACAGGACATCTAGGTGAGCACAAATCAGAACATATGCAACATTGTGTTAATTGAAGCAATAAAGGCCTAATCAGTTTGCCTACTGATTTTTAGGGGGGTTGCTGAATCTGGATAATTAACAAAAGCACAGTTTGACAGTCCGCAGGATTTTAATCGCCCTACAGGCTTGCCTAGGTGTGTATCAATATGTCCTATGAACATGGTATCTAATTAATCGGAAGTACAATAAATCAGTAAAACCATTTTAAACAGGCAGTTTGGTTCATTAGATCCTATAGGCATGCTATTTAGATGTGAGGACTGATTTAAGACCATGCTAGCTAAACGCAGTGGTTAGTTTTAAAACCTCATTGGCATTCAAAGACTGATTTTAGACTTACAAGCAAAATGGCTTGGAACCTTTCACTCGAAAACTCAAAGGGGGGAAAGAATTCCTGTGTCTTACCCTTTCAAGGAAGGGGAAAAAATGTCGATGACTATTCATAGCTATTACCTTGACAACAAAGAAGAGTTCGGCCATATTATTAAAAGCTTGTGGTAAGAATGGGTTTCGTTCTAGTGCTCGAAAATAATATTCCAAAGTTAGAGCATAAAGAAGCTATCATATCTCATTTAAGTTGGGCCAGCCTCTTTCTGTCCAGAATGCAAGATTGATTTTACCCTATAAGCATGGTTTCTAAAGGTTGAATACGCTGAACATATTTAACATGGCTCCTAAATGCAGAAATTAATTTTTAACTTATAGGCATGATATCTAAAGGTGCAAGATTGATTTTTAAACTATAGGCATGATATCTAAAAGTGCAAGATTGATTTTTAACCTATAGGCATGGTATCTAGAATGCATGCAAACAGACAAACAGCGCAATGATGTAATTTCTGATTGTAGAAGTGGATTTGATAGTCATGATATCTAGGATGCACACAAGTGATGAACATCGCAATGTCCTATAGGCATGGTTTCTAGAATGTAAACACGGATTTTAAAACCGTGTTTTATGATATCTAACCATTCCCAAGAAAATACATACAATAATCCTTCCCAGTTTACTAATTTCCCCAATATCTGTTTACAAAGTAATTAATATTACAAGCCAAATGTAAATAAATTACAGGAATGATAATAGTATACAATAGGGAGCCTTGATAGGCCCAAAGCAAAACCTGGGGAACCAGGCCTTCAAACAGTCTCAAATGCCACATCTCATAGTGCCAGGGAGGGTATCTTAATGTGTCAAAGTTCCCACGGGCCTCAAGGACCTAGGGCAGTGTTCACACCAAGGCCCCCTTTAAAGATCAACAGCTTGTGCAGTGTGGAATAACCAGCCCCAGTGTGTCAAAGTTCAGAGGGGTCTCATGGACTCCAAACAATGCTCACACTGGAGGGGCAGGACCCTAGATGTTTTAAGAATTTGAAGTGGATAGTGATTTACAAGAGTAGTTTTGAGAAAAAGCAATTTTAGACTTTCAGGGAACCCAGAAGCAAACAGAGTCATTCAATTCCTGGAACTTAGGCAAAGGTTCCGGCAAACAAACAGCATTCAGAAATGGGATTACTTAAGTTAACTATTACTAAGTGACCAAACACAAGGCAAAGCATGCTGAGGATCAAACAGCCGCATACAAAAGGGAAGCAGGGATTGGGAGTAGTGAACATTTAGAACAGAACAGGCTAGTGGGAGGTAACAGACATAGATCCAATTTAGACATGAATAAACATGCAAATTTGCTGAAAGCAGGAACCCATAATTCTAATTAACAAAAGAAGTAAACATGCTATTATAGTAAACACATGTATGGGGGAGCAGTAGGCATGCTAGTGTAATAAACACATAGATTGAACATTAATAGACATGCTAGGAAACACATAGTTAGACATGCTGTTGAACATACAGATTGAGCAGAAGTAACCACATAGACTAGATAGAAGCAATCATGTTAGTAAATACATAGATTAAACAGAATTAGGTATGCTAGTAAACACATAGATTGAACAGAAGTAGACATCCTAGTAAACACATAGTTTAATTGAATAGCAGTAGTGGGGGCATACCAATTGAAAATTTGCAGTAGGAGAGTGAAGTAAATAGGATCCAAGATCTAGTCTTGGCTTCCAGCCAACTAGATAGTGCAACAGACAAGTAGCAGTAGATTGCAATAGAGAGAGAGCAAGAATTTTTAAGTGTGAGTGTTATGTGAGCTATTGTTCGTGTCTGCAAGGCAGAATGAGAGTGTGTATATATAGGAGTCGAATAATGTAGGAAATAAGGCAAGGGAAATTAACATTGCAGAATAAGGTAAGGAAGTAATCAAATAATCAATCAAGCTTGATAAGGGACAGAAAATTAGGGAATTATTCCCATAAATGACTCGGATTGAGTTTCAAATAAGGCAAGAAGCGGGTTTAACAGCCAATTAGGGTTAGAGCCCATAAATCAAGCAATCAATCACACGAATAAGGCAATCATAGGTAATTAGAGACCAATCAAGTGTCAATCAACCCATAAATAGGCAAGAGATGCTAATTAGGAACCTCTGGATTAAGGTAAGTGAGCAGAAATCAGTAAATTATTCCAGCAAACAATGAAATCCTAGATAATTTAGTTAATCGGTCAATTATTCAAACAATAACGGACGAAAATGTTGAAGTTACACAATGAACAGCCAAGCAATCGAACCAGAAACATAACCATGCGAGAAAGATTAAACAAAACATAAGAATCTCAGAAAACTTTATTGCAAAAACAGAAGTGGAAACCCTAAAAAGTTTTAAAAAAACTTAGGGTTGATTAATAGTAGGAAGATCAGGAGAATCTTAAAGAAACAGTCATGGAAACCCGAAACTACTTCAAACACAGAGGTTCGACCAACAAATAATGAGAAAACCAAACCCTAATATAACAAAGTGCTTAAAAATCGGTTAATCAGTAAAGAAATAAGGGAACTTTAAGGAAAAATCAGTGACGAACTCAAAATCGCTCCAGATCTACAAGGATCTGGACAAATTCAAGTCCAAAACATTAGGGTTTTGAAGAAAAAGGAAAGGGTAAACAGAATCCGATCTTGAATCAGAGATTTGAGCCGCAAAACATCTATAGAAAGCACTCGCAGACCATAGACAGACTCTTAGAGAGTTTTGAACAAGATCTGGACTAGATCTCTTCGAAATCTTTCCATGAAATCACAAAATCGAGCAACTAGTGGAAGTAGGAGGCCTGCAGGGGTCTCAAACACCCATGGAAATCCATGGATACACAATGAACAGCCAAGCAATCGAACCAGAAACATAACCATGCGAGAAAGATTAAACAAAACATAAGAATCTCAGAAAACTTTATTGCAAAAACAGAAGTGGAAACCCTAAAAAGTTTTAAGAAAACTTAGGGTTGATTAATAGTAGGAAGATCAGGAGAATCTTAAAGAAACAGTCATGGAAACCCGAAACTACTTCAAACACAGAGGTTCGACCAACAAATAATGAGAAAACCAAACCCTAATATAACAAAGTGCTTAAAAATCGGTTAATCAGTAAAGAAATAAGGGAACTTTAAGGAAAAATCAGTGACTAACTCAAAATCGCTCCAGATCTACAAGGATCTGGACAAATTCAAGTCCAAACATTAGGGTTTTGAAGAAAAAGGAAAGGGTAAACAGAATCTGATCTTGAATCAGAGATTTGAGCCGCAAAACATCGATAGAAAGCACTCGCAGACCATAGACAGACTCTTAGAGAGTTTTGAACAAGATCTGGACTAGATCTCTTCGAAATCTTTCCATGAAATCACAAAATCGAGCAACCGGTGGAAGTAGGAGGCCTGCAGGGGTCTCAAACACCCATGGAAATCCATGGATCGAGTGAGAATCGGAGGGATTAGGGCTGGTTTTGGGTGGGGGCGGCTAGGGTTAGGGTTGGGCCTCAGAGAGAGACGGAGAGGAGAGGAGTTTTAGGGGGGCTGTTTTGTGTAAAATGAATTAGGGTTAGGGGTATTTGGGAATTAAAAAAGGAAAGGAATGATACGGACCCAAAGATCAACGGTCGCGATTGATCCTGGGGTTGGGGCGGGTTGGATTTAAGTGGCCTAGGTCTGATTGGTTTGGGCTGGTTTTAATTGAATTGGGACCGAATTTGGGTTGTTTAATTAGGCTAGGTCCGAAAAATAAAAGGAGTCATTTGTTAAATACCCATTTAATTGATAAAATAATTTTAAAATATAATTAACAGATTACAAAAAATGATTTTCATATCTAGAAATGTTTTAAAATAATTATTTAGTATTTAAAAAAATATAAAAAGCTATTTTCTGGTAGAATAATGCAATAATGCATGCATGGGCTATAATTGCAAAGTGATTGCAATTATAACCCCAAAAATGCAAATGTGGCTGTTTGTGCAATAATTAAAACTTAGTACAAATGCAAATGATAAAATTAAGCCACAAAATTATTATAAAACTATTTGTGATGCAATTAGTAATTGTTTATATAAATGAGAGTACTGGGGATAAATTAATTAAAACCCTTAAAATGCAGAAATTATGGAGAAATATTAATTGATGCTAATACATAGTTTTGGAGTTGTATATGCATTTTGAAAACTATTATAGGAAAAAATTGGGTATCAACCGGTACACCACTACATCCCCTAAATTATTTTGCTTAACACCTTGACCCAACTCCCTCCTTGCACCATCATAAGAAGATTGTTGCTCAATCTCCCTCAATAGTTCTAACACCCTATCTTCCTTCCCTTCAAAAAAAACACCTAAAATCTTCCTGAAGTTTAATAGTTTATCCTCCATCCAGAAGGACATATCCCCTCCTCCAGTCCGTGACGGAATTGGACAAGCGTCTTCTATATGTACCTTTTCCTTGCTCCTACCGGAGGAATACAAGACCATAGCATTGCTAGCAATAGGAACTTTAGGTGCCGGAAGGATCTCACCATTTCCTTGAGAGGCATCAACCTCTGAGATTAGCACTCTGCTGCTATAGGAATGTCCAGAAACGCCAGCAGTGTAGCGGGAAGGAAGAGAGCATGGAACCCTTGGCGGCATATTAACAGGAATTGCTGGTCCGGCAATAACATCAATTGGGGCATGCGCAACAATCTCCCCAAAAGGAGCTTGAAGTGTAACCTCAGCGCAGCTAAGCACAGGAGAAGATGAGGGGGCGATGGAGCCGGGTCCATTAGAGGCGGGAGGCCGTGAAATAACACCACCAGCTTTAGTCTGTGCTGCCCCTGAAGCAACGACCATCGAAGAGGGGAGCAGGACACTAGAGTTCGGAGAAGAAATATCACTGTGTGAAGCACCATTGGCAGAAGAAGAAGGAGCGATTGTTCCCATATGCTTAGGAGCCTTATCAGACGCAGCTCGAAATTATTTGGGCCCCTTAGGATCAATTTTAATAGAATTGGGAAAAGTTGTTGGGCCCATGTGTGGAGGCCCAGGCCTATACTTGCTGAAAACTTGTCCGGCCCTATGATGATTAAAAGAGGACCGGTCCATTCTACCTTTCCAGTCCGCATCACTAACCCAGGGGCATTCACGTCTTTTCCTCTTGATAAAATTTTGTCTTCTTCTCCCGAATTCAAATCCCCCTGTCTCTTCTTGATCTAACTTCTTATTCTGCGTAGCCCACTGATCCGGTGAGCCCTCCCCTCTCTTCAGAGACTGATTTCCCCTCCCCTCTCTTCTATTTGACCTACCCTTTTTCTTCCGCCACTATCACAGGCATAAAGATAGGGCGAAATTCAAGGCTCAACCAAACCCAATAACTCAAGTAGCCATCTTACACCACAGTGGAGACAAGGATTCTGCCACCTTTCCTAACCACAATCCTCACTCGCGAGAGATCGTGTAGGCTGCAAGTGACATCAATAAAGCCCCCACTGATTTCCCCAATCTTCTTGAATAGGTCAAGACACCAAAGATACACTGGGAGACCCACCATGTTGACCACCAATGTTTCGCCGATGAAACAAGGGTCGAGACACCCATCGTGCTCCACCCATCTGTCTAGCTTTAAGAAGTTCTCATCGAACCACCTGCTTCCTCTGACAAGAATTTCTGAAGCTTGAGACTTGTCGACAAATCGAAAGAGATATTGCGTGTCCCTCAGTTGCGATATTTTCAGCCCGTCCTTGACGTTCCATGCCTCTGCTGCCCAGTTTCTAACAGCCTCTGGAGAAGCAACCCATTTGGAGAAAGACCCAATCAGACAAGATTCCAAGAAACCCTTGCGCCTGAGAGTGTGCTCCTCGGACAACGAAAAGTGCGGCTCCTGCCCTACGTTGAGTTTTCGATGGCATCTTCCCCCAAGTTCTAGGGCTGGCCAAGAGATAGCTTTGATGAAAGACATATTTTCCAGTTTTCTAGATTCTATAGAGAAAGGTGTGATTCTTTTCTCTTTGCTTTAAAGTATTTGTATGATTTATGTGTATTGGTAAATAAAGTTCATAGGGCTGCCTTAATTCGTGACTAATTTAAATTTCTTAACGAATTGGCAATGCCATGTTCTCTCTTTGAAATATTTTTGGGCATTGATAAAGCATTTTAGCTTTACATGTGTAATTATCCTCTTCTTCTTTTTTTTGTTTATTATGGAACTATTATTACTATTACTACTACTACTACTACTACTATTATGAAATATGAATCTACTTCTATATCTAAGTAAATTATTTTCGAGGCCCAATTTCAGGAGGCCTAGTTAAGTCGAAACAAAAATGAAATAGCCGAACCATAACGAGAAAACCCAAACCTAACCATATTTATTTTAGTTCAGTTTCACCAAAAACTGAGAACCGGAACGAAATTTGACAAAACGCAAACTGAAAGATGAACACTCCTGCCAGCACCCCTCCTCTCTCTAACAACCAGCGCTCTCGTTTCTCTGCTTAAGGCGCAATGTCTCTCTTCTTCCTGCGTCCCACTGCTCTTTTTTCCAGTTGAACTTTCCATGTATAGAAAAGAAAAGAATAGAAAGAGATGGAATAGAAGAGCATCTGTTATGTCAATGACACCAAAGGGATATTAAATGAATGGAATTGGGATATGGTCCAATGGATGGAATATAATGAATCATCTTTGTCACTGCATGCATCTCTCTGACCATTATCCCAATAGCAGTTTTCCTACAAGATTTCAGTGGCAGTTTTCTATGTTCATAATAAGCAAACTCAAGTTTGTTTCACCACTTTGAGTTTGAACTAGCATGTTGAATGTTAAGGTATTATATGCCTAGATTCACATATGTCGTGATTCACTGTACATGAATAAGAAAAATACTATAGAATACCATATAGATACCTTAAGACATTACTTACTTAACTATTGAATACTTACTTACCTTATTAGACAAGCTCAGAAATACCACATCCAACAGAATGTGCAAATAGCACACATAGAGGATAAAAAGAGAGAAAGACGCTTGAAGTCTTTCAATCATCTCCTATGTAGACCTCCAAATGCATTGATCCGCAAGTGTGAAAGCATGAACCTGTTAAAAGGAATGATATAGATCTAAAATCACATGAAAAAACTTTGAAAACCCTACATTTTCTTGGAATCTATGCAAAAGTAGGGCAAATAAGACATAATAGAAGCAAAAGATCTATATAGGTGACACCTACTTGATATAATAGAAGCAAGATCTACATAGCTACTTGTCAAGTACTATGAGGAGTCTTCTTAATCTGGTTAGAGATATCTGTGTCAATACAAAATATAGAGAATATCTAGTGATAGAAAACCCTTCATTCAATATTGGAATAAACCGGGCCAAATAGAGCGAAATGTACAGTGATATTCATATGCTGACCCCAATTAGTTTGGGTGGCAGGCATAAATCTAGTTTTTACCTACCATATTGTAGGTAACCTAAGATTCTTTTCTTACATAAAGAGTCCCTCTTTTACATTCTTAACCAATCAAGCCAATAAGAAGTTTACTCTTTTGTTTTCAAAAACACAAACATAAAAAACAAAGTCTACTAGTATATATGAAATCTGACAGAAATATTTCTCATAATTGTCTTTATTCATCACTACACAAGAATGCTAACTAGTGGAGGAAAGAGAATTAAACAAAAAGTGTAGTATCATGCCATTTAACTCATAGATGAAACAACACGTCAAAGAAGGCAAAACAAGTTAAAATATCTTGGTCGATGCCATCAACATGTCTTAATCCCAAATGACCTCAAACCTACTTTTGGGGAGTGCATGATCGCAGCAAAGGAATGACCATAATGAAGGATGAAACAATTTTACTCTTTATTTTAAGGAATATCTCTATCATTTGCCCTAGTACTTAACATATTAATACCATTCCAAAAAAAGAATGTTTAGCATGTGTTGCCTACATCCATAACTTCACCAACGTGAGCTTCTGTATAGGTGTCTTCTCAGGTCCGGATAAAGGAGAAAGATTCTACATCTCAGCTTCAGCATAAAATTATCAAATTATGATGAATTCTTAAGTAATGTGTGAGATTTAGGGAGCATCTAGTTCTAGAAAAGATAAATTATTGAGTATTGGAATGAAACTACCCCAAATAAAGCAGAATGAATACAGAGGAGTGTACAGCTGATCCCAACTAGTTTAGGATTAGAGCATAAAGTCTTGGTATATATCGTCTATACCCATATAAAGCAACAGAATGGAAGCCTTTATCTCCATTATCAAAAAGCAAGTTCAGAACGGGGCTTGTTTAGAAGAAGTGAGGATGACAGAGAGGCTGATCCTCTAGCTAACAGTGCATTCTGAGTACCGTTCTGAACATGCTCACCAAGAACAGCATAAATAAACGGGAAAAATGAAAGAAAAATATGGGAACTTCACTTGTAGAACCAAAAAAAGGAATCAAAGTGAATTGTCATGAGAATAAATGTCATTGTTACCTACCCAAAGAGGACTGAATCAAACGCATAAGCTCTCCATCAAACAAGCTGCAGCATAAAAGGCATGGATGAAGTTCAAGCAACTCACAACCTAATGCACTAAACAATAAACCCACACATCTGAATGAGATTATCAGCTGAAAATTAATCATAACTAAGCGCTAATGAGGCATGGTAAGAGCACCTACACCATTGCATGCTCTCTTATTGAAAGCCATTGGATTTCTCTTCAGGGCATGCTGCAACTTTGACCTACACCATTGCATGCTCTCTTATTGAAAGCCATTGGATTTCTCTTCAGGGCATGCTGCAACTTTGACTTGAATTTGATCTAAGCCAAGCTTAAATACACATGCAAAAAAATAAACAAACACAATTCATCCTGCATAACTATGACTCTAAAATTGGTCGAAAGGAAGATAGGTGGCATACCCAAACCAAGCTTTCTGTAGCTGAACTCTTTTAGAGGATCTCTTTTTTACTGTCAATAACACATGATGCATATTTTGCCTTGAAGTCTGCATTTTAATGCAAACAGTGAGAGAATATTGTTGGAAGTTACTAATACAGTTGCTATACGGCAATCTGAAGCTTCCTCAGTTATGACTTATGAGGCCATAGTGCTACTCAGAAGCTGCTTGGTCCATCCTTCTAATTACTCTCTCTCCTCTCGCTATTTTTTTCTATCTTTCTGGCTACTTCAATCTTGCTCATATTCATCCTCTTCTCTTGCCAACATTACAAATTCCAGTGACTTCTTCTGAGCAGTTTGATTTTCCTTATCGTTTCTTTTCAGTTTTAGAAGAGAAACACGCAGGAAAGCTACTGAATCATGTAATAACTGCTGGAAATAAAGATGAATAAGGAAAAGAAAAACTAAGAAACATCCTTAAACAGAATGTTATTAGCTAGCAATGTTTACCACTGCGGGATCAAGGATAGACGGGGGGCAAAAGACACCATAAAGGAAAGCACGACAACTAATGATCAAAGAAAAAACACGTGAAGAGAAGCTTATTTTCTTTTGCCTCTGTAATGGATAGAAAAGTTACCAATTTCAGTGCAGTCCACATGTTACATAAGGTCGAGGTAGAGGGGCATTATGCGATTCAGTTGAAAAATACATAACAAGTGAAGTGCAACCACCCTTCTCTTCTTGTTTATCTCATGTGCATAGATGGCTTCCGCAAAATAAATTAGTTATCTGTATAAGTTATAAGAAGATTCTCTCCATATTATGCCCAGTAGTCAATCATCCTCTTTCCAGGAAAGAAGAGAAAGTTCTTCCAATTAAATTTTTTGATCTCCCTATTCAGTAATATTCTTAATGATAAACAACAATGACGCAAAACTACTTTATTCCAATGCTACTTTACATTTAAAAAGTAACTTCCCTTTCCTTAATTTGGACTTGTTCGACTGGAAGTTGGCCATCTTAAGCAGACACTGAACCGATATCCCCTTCTAGAAAGACTTTGATGCTATATATTTGCCCATTTTAGCACCTAAAGTACACTTTCCACATACAGAAATTTGCATATGTAGCTATAAAATCAAGTGGAGTAACATTGCAAGACATAAATGCACACACACAATGAAGCAACAATCGCAATATCATTGCAGTTAAATTATTTTACAAGAAGTAACATAACATAGTAACTAGCTAGTTATAATAAATGGAGGGCGGGAACTGGGGAAAAGCTTAATCGGAAATTACATACTATTAATAGCAAAATCAACTGATGTAAAAAAGAGAAAACAATCAGAGCAATTATTAATGTTTATACAAACTGAGAGGAGAGAATTACCTTCCGTGGCATGATCGAAGAAATTGAACAGAGTGAAAGAGGGGAAGAGAGGGAAAGAAATTATATCGTCCGAGAAAGGAATGCTCTTCCCATTTATTTTCAGTCAAGTTTTTGCTTTACCCCCGCATTAGTTTTTGCGGTGCCCTTAGCTGTCTCTCCTTTTCCCTCCTTAAGAAAAGGCGTGCATCCAATTTTTCGGTTTGTTTTGCATTGTTCCGTTTTGATTTTTCGTTTTAAGGTTTTGAAAAGATCGATGTCCTCTAATCCAAACTAAAATAAATTTAGTTAGATTAAGTTTGTTTCTTTCCGGTTTAGTCCAGTTTGATTTTTCGATTATTTAATTGTATCGTATAAGATAATATGAATTCAAATTAATCTAATCTTCTATCTGTATAGAATAACAAAAGCAAAATTATGATAGGCTGCCAAGTGGAATAACCACAATTCAACACATGTCAAATTTTAGGACAAATATTCGAGATTGTTGGAGTTTAAAATTGATTTAAACTACAAATCAGAAAATTAACTTGCAACCTGCAAATCTCAAAATAATTTTATACTTCCTCCAACGTTTTGACAGTTATTCTATTTATTTATTTATTACACAGCTTTATTAAAAAAAAAATCCTCCCACTTTTTTTTGGCTGTTTTAAAATAAAAAAACTACACACTCAAATTTGCAATTATTTTTATAAATAAAAATTTAAAAAAAACGTCGGAGGATGAACCACGACCGATCGTGCTTCCGAACGTCGGCTTCCAACCGAAAATCCCTGTTTTATCTACACCTCCATAACTGATTGGTTTATGCTCTTTATATCTTCAAATCCCTATTTTTTCTATTCAGTATACCAGTCTGATTACAACTGCTTTGCAAATATGGCTAGGCAATTTCATGAAATCAGAGAAATCTCAATGCAATGGAATCCCAAAGTTAGAGTCGTTTGAATGTGGGTAATTCTGGATCGATTTAAGCCTGAATTACCTTGTTCAATGGAATTGGTTTTAAAGGATTCGAAGGTAACATATTCAACTTTCACTTAGTTTTAAAGTTCCGTTTCTATGCAGTATTACTGTTTCTGTTTCTGAAAGTATGATTAACAATTCATGTCATGACAACAGTATATATCGAATAACACACTTCAAAAAGTCGAATCAATTTCAGTAAAATTTTCAATTATGAAATATCTTAGAATTGTAAAAGGCAATTTTGAACTGAAAGAGAGAGGAATATTTCATACCATATTTATGTGGTCTGCCATATTATGACTACCCTATGAAGATGACTTGCAGTGACGCAGATTAATAGTTTTCTAAAGAACTTTCAGGTGCTCGAATATGTGTTCTAAAATCATGTCCTGTTGATCGGCCTAACGTACCTAAGCATAATCCTGTTAATCTTATTTTGTTGCCAAAAATATTTCGTAAACATACGTACATAACCTAAATTATTGTTAATCATTCTGTTAATATTTTGTAATGCAAGACGTTAGTTATTTCAACTAATCGTCGTTGAATGAATGTGCTGCTGAATCTTGATTTCTGAACAATTAATCCATACAGTTTGAACCAGCTTACACACATGACATCAAAAGAGTTATTTAGTCATCCTCACTACTGATTTTGCCTTCTTTTATGCCTAACCTTTGCTTGTGGAAGAGCACATTTTTCTTCGTGTGATACCTAAATTTTCTGCAACTCTATTATTCATTCAGTCTTTCTTTAATTGCCAGAGACTTTTGTTATGAATAAACGAGAGGAAGACCATGAAAAGGGATAACATGCATCTTAGAAGTTATAAGTCCGGTTACATTTAGGACAGTTTATGAGGATTAAGATGAAATTTTCCTAAAGTCAGTTTTCAGACTTCTTTAGCCTATTTATATATTTTTTTACATCTCATTTCTTTGAATGTAGAGGAGTTTCTGAAAGTAATTGCAGGTTGAAGGGTGAGAACTGAAGCTAATCTCTATTTATTTAGTCTTTAATAGGTTATCCTCCGAGGAATGCATTTTAAAACATGTCTTATATCAAATAGAGTATGATTGTGGTTGAATTACCAATTCTCGAGTTTCATATATTTCTGGTCATTTAGAATTGTGATATTGTCTTTGCTCGTGATATTTTTGGCTTCCGGTGTAGTTTTACTTTTTAACAGAAGAAGTAAATTCACTATATAGCAACAAGAAGTTACTATAAATGTACAAGTTCTATAGCTGCCAACATTATTCTCAATAAAACAGGAAATGACAAATGGGAGAAGTGCTCTGCTTCTGAAAGAGTATAACTAAACTGTGACATATTGCTGCCTTTGTCTGCTGATACAATTCAACAACATTGAGCAAAAATTTAAATTTGTGCGTTAGCTACAATCCACTTTCTCCAATCACCCAATTCATCTTTCAAGTCTGTTGCTCCACTTTGACAATAACTCTTGCAACGTTTCCTCTTTTAATTTCTGATAGAAGTGTGCGTTTGGCATCATGATATGGACAATTTATGTCTCTATAGTGCTTCACAGTTGTACTATTTTCAAATGCAGCCTCACTCATATACTCAACAACTGATCATACATTTTGAATTTAACGACGTCCTAAGATATGTGTCAATCAGTTTGATTGGAGTTAGCGCCCAATTTGACATTTCGAAATCTAAACTCTGCTTTTTTATTGGCGGCCGGGAAGAGAACCATCTTGAGGTTGGTCCATTAACTGTTTCTATTAAATTCTACTGTTTGGGAGATAACATTGGATCAACTTTTACTGTTTCTATTGATGAATGACAAAAACACATCATTTCTGTGATTGCACACGTGAAATAGGATTATTTTCCTAGGTGCAGAAACCTCCACTATAAGCATCAATATTATTTACAAATGCTACGGTAGTATATGACAACTAAGGTCTGCTATAATCTTTTTCTTTCTTTTAAGCTAAGATGCTCCGGCTCATTTATCGTCTCCTTTTTTCTAAAATGAGCAGATTAGTTCAATTATTGAAAATGTTTTTACAAGTAAAACTCTATGGTGAAAAGTGAAAATACAAAGGTAGTTAATCACTTCTACCCTTTTGCTCTTTTAACATAAAGTTTCCTGCTTTAGTTTTAATTATTTCGAAAATATATTGAAAAAATTGTTTGTGGGAGATTTAATAAATTAAAAATAATACTTCATTAAAGACGATATAAAATATAAAGTAGAAATATAAAGGAAAAAGAGGCGTGTCAGATATGCCCAGTTACCGTTAACTGCTCTCTCCTTAAGCTTTTCTTGAAGAGTGAAGACTCTTCAACTTCTCACACCAAATTCAGTTTCTCACCCCAAATTTCGGCCTAATTCCTATCACAACGACTGTCAATTTTTTTAATGTGTATCCAGCACTTTCATGCTTCTAGGTTTGTCTACAGTAGTTTTTCTTCTAAAATAGTGTTGTACTCGAGCCTGTCGTGTTTGCTTTAGAAATTCTCGATATTGAATTAGACGATATCACAAGAAAATAGAGTTTGTTTTGCTTCAGAATCAGCAGACTGATGGGTTGCCAAGTAGCCGTACAAAATTTTACTTTACTTTTCTAAAAGACTCTACAACTTCTCGCAACAAATTTTGTTTTTACGGCACTTTGACATGGAAGAACAGAAAAAACTCGAAAAAATCGAATATGGATATAGAAGCAAAAACAGCCTAAAATTTCCTCGGACAGTATGAACTTTTAACACTATATACGTCATGAGCAATTTCACAGTTCTTTCAACAATTGGACGTAACTTCGGTCTCTTACTAAATCGTTTTGTTCTACTCTTTGTTTACTTTCTAGCTGCATTAAATGGTCTAATTTAAGTTTAATTCTAAAAAATATGTGCTATATATGTATATATATGTGTGTGTGTTCTCATCCTCATACCATAGTAGTATCTTATGCGTTCTGTATTCTATTGTGTATGGTCTTTCTTTCAAAGATGCATTATCTGCTATATCATGATATAAATTTAAAATATATCAAGTCATATACATGCTGAAATCAGCTGACTCATGACAGCATATTTGCCTATACTTGCCCCAAAGGGGAGATCAACTCCATGAAATTAAGTAATTTGTGAAGACCAGCTTTTTTTTATTCTCGTGGTATGAAAGAAATCATCGATAACAGTCGCGATAAGGTTCATATTATATCTTAATGCATATTTTAGCCATTAGGAACAAGTTATATGAGCAGGTCCACTGCTTTATTTTGCTCATATTTATTATAACATATATCCAGTAATTGAGTTGTTCATATTCTTTTAATAGAACTTATGTGCTTTCCATGTAATTTGATAATTTTATAGGTTTTGTGCTGTAATTCATGTAGTATATATGATTTTAGTTCTGTTTTTTTGTTCTCATTGTGATTTACATTGGCAGATGCTAAGCAGCCTACTGGAGAAGGTTTAGTGATGCATCTGTACAGGGTGACATGAAATTGTGGCCTATGAACGTTTTTCTTGAACCTGGTGATAAGCCGATGATTGTTGCAAACTACAAGAGTGAATAAAAGCAGTTTGTTGCTGTAGAAATAATCTCTTTTGTGGTGCTGACAAAGATGAAGAAAATTGCTGAGACCTACCTTGGATCAACTGTCAAGAATGCCGTGGTGAATGTGACTGCATACTTCAATGATTCGCATCATCAAACTACTAAGGATGCTGGTATTATTTCTAGGCTGAATGTTATGCGTATTATTACTTAGCTTATAGGTGTTGCCATTGTCTATGGTCTGGACAAGAAAGGTTCTAGGTCCTTTAATTTTCTCACTACCTGTTTTTATAAAGGATTAAGTCTATTTCCATATGACTTGAATTTATTAATATCCAGTGCATTTATATGTTCATAATATAATACTCCCTCCGTTTCAATTTATGTGAATTCATTTGACTGAGCACGGAGTTTAAGAAAAGAGAGAAGGCTTTTGAACTTGTGGTGTTAAAGGAGGCACATATATTTTGTGTGGCTACAAAATCATTCCANTGTTTCCAAATAGCGAAAGGGATCATTCTTTTTGGCATGGACTAAAAATGAAATAGGTTCACATAAATTGAAACGGAGGGAGTAGCATTTATATGTTCCTTTCCGTCTATCATATTTTCTTTTCAAATGTTATATTTTACATTTTTCGCGCAACACGCGGGTACGAATACTAATAGTTATATATATGAATGACGAAAAAAGAATAATTATGAC